TGAATTATAATTTTGTGGGTAGTTGTTTATAATCCAATTGAAATTTTTTTTGCATTTGATTTTTTTTGGGAAGGTGTGTTTTTATATCGTCAATTTTATTTTTATAAATTCTGCATTCTTTTCGGGGGGTGATAAATTATTATAAAGCCCAAAATAGTAACGTCGTAAATCGACTTGCTTTCTTTTTGTTCGGATAATTTCTGGATGTGGCGTGATTACTTATACAGGCATAAATAACGATTCAAAAGAAATACAAACATCCACTCCTTCGGAACGAGCTACTGAAATTGAAAAGGAAACAGATCAATCTATCAATGCAGCCCTTATCAAAAGTCCGGTGTTTCTTGACAAGGATGCCGTGCACAAAAAAACAAATAACGAAATTGGTTCAGTTAATGCAAATCGTTCTTTAAAACCTGCGACCGTCAAAGTTTTAAGTACAAAGGCGAATGACGGAAATGATTTACAAGTTAAGTCCGTTGCCAGCCCGTCGAGCCAAAACCTACAAGAGATCTCCTAATGAAAACGTCACTAGAAAATCTGATTCTAATACAACGTCATATTCATCAACTACCACTCCAATTCTTTCAAAAAAATCTAAAAAAAAAGATAAGAATTCGGGCGTCCAGGCTCAGTTTCTGGAAAATGACCTTTCACAAAAAGACACGGATTTAATCGAGGATCCACATAATTTGAACATTGAGGATTTTCAAAAGATTTCAAATGAAAGTAATGAAAAGGACAACCTCGCCACTAATAATTCAAACCGTCATAATAAAATGCCAATAGACTTTAAATTCGATTTTGCAACGTCCACCTTTGCATTATCTCCCAATGTCTCGAAAGGCACCAATAATGATTCGATTTCCACACAAAATACTTTAGAGAATCCATCTAATCCAAAATCACCCTCCGATTCAACATTTGAATTTTCATCCTCTAATATATTTTCCAAGGATTTCAACTTCAACGCATCATCCATTTTCAATTTACAACCCTTATTTCCATGCATCTTGTAAGTGATGTGTATTTTTTTTAATTACTGCCCTTAAACGGTGCTCAAGCATTTCAGCTTCACGTCTAGCATTTGCCACCTGTCGTTCAAGGTCTTCAACAGAGACTGCGGTGGTTTTAACCCCGTTGGAGGTATTGGAATTTGAAGATTGTGCGGAATTATTCCATGGACTAGGATCACCGTTCATCATTATTGGAGAACCTGGGGAATTGTTGTCTGAAGAACCAAATAAGGGGGAAGCAGATGAGAATGATGTTTGTAAATTGAAAATGGATGATGCGTTGAAGTTGAAATCCTTGGAAAATATATTAGAGGATGAAAATTCAAATGTTGAATCGGAGGGTGATTTTGGATTAGATGGATTCTCTAAAGTATTTTGTGTGGAAATCGAATCATTATTGGTGCCTTTCGAGACATTGGGAGATAATGCAAAGGTGGACGTTGCAAAATCGAATTTAAAGTCTATTGGCATTTTATTATGACGGTTTGAATTATTAGTGGCGAGGTTGTCCTTTTCATTACTTTCATTTGAAATCTTTTGAAAATCCTCAATGTTCAAATTATGTGGATCCTCGATTAAATCCGTGTCTTTTTGTGAAAGGTCATTTTCCAGAAACTGAGCCTGGACGCCCGAATTCTTATCTTTTTTTTTAGATTTTTTTGAAAGAATTGGAGTGGTAGTTGATGAATATGACGTTGTATTAGAATCAGATTTTCTAGTGACGTTTTCATTAGGAGATCTCTTGTAGGTTTTGGCTCGACGGGCTGGCAACGGACTTAACTTGTAAATCATTTCCGTCATTCGCCTTTGTACTTAAAACTTTGACGGTCGCAGGTTTTAAAGAACGATTTGCATTAACTGAACCAATTTCGTTATTTGTTTTTTTGTGCACGGCATCCTTGTCAAGAAACACCGGACTTTTGATAAGGGCTGCATTGATAGATTGATCTGTTTCCTTTTCAATTTCAGTAGCTCGTTCCGAAGGAGTGGATGTTTGTATTTCTTTTGAATCGTTATTTATGCCTGTATAAGTAATCACGCCACATCCAGAAATTATCCGAACAAAAAGAAAGCAAGTCGATTTACGACGTTACTATTTTGGGCTTTATAATAATTTATCACCCCCCGAAAAGAATGCAGAATTTATAAAAATAAAATTGACGATATAAAAACACACCTTCCCAAAAAAAATCAAATGCAAAAAAAATTTCAATTGGATTATAAACAACTACCCACAAAATTATAATTCA